TGTCTAGTCTTTTTCTCCCTTTTGTATAATCTTCCTTTCCCCATAAGAATGCTGTCTTCTTTTCTTGGGGAAGGGAAGGTTTAGGGAAGACCAGTTCTCTCTGAGGTTTAGATTCATCAACCTCTACTCATATCTGAAGCTGCAAGGACTGAATCAAAGCTATTTATGAAGCTCAGACCTTGCCAACTGCTTACTTGGCTTCACTGAGAAACATATATCCCTTTTGGCACAGCCTATCAGCTTTGAAGCCAGTCACCTGCAGAGCTATTCATTAGCTCACAGTGTAAAAACACTGATAGCCCTGGGTGGGATGCAGATGAATGCTGAAGAGGAATCAGAGGCAGAAGATTACAACCTTTTGAGAGTGAGAAAATACAAGGTGCTTTGTGAAAAAGAAGTGGAACAAGTGAATATGAAGAGGTAAAAGATAAATACAACATGATACTAAATACTGATGACATAGAATTATAAATGCTGAATGTTGGTCTAGATATGAAGTTCCTGCTTGTGCAGGTCAACCATCTTGTCCTGTTTCCACATGGTCTACATCTCCGCTGGAATATTTTTGCTGTTGTTATGTGTACAGACTGCTTGTATACCCTTCATGTCACAGTCTCTAAAGGGTCGATATACAACTCTAAGTGTTTCTTGCCACTATGCACAATACACAAATCTGCTGGTGAAAGTCAGCATGTGTGGACTTACACAGAAAACCCCTCAAAACTACAAGTTGTGAGAAACTACATTCACGGTTTTGGATTTTTTCTCACTTTTGATTGCCCATAAAACTATGAAGAATTTGAGAAAAATATATTTTGTGTGTATATTGTGAGTTTTGTTCTACCATAGTAACACCAGCACTCTGTGGTAGATCCAAATAATTAGAAGGAGTACTGCAGGAAGGTTTAGAGATTGTCAAAGGAAGAATGAAGGTAAGTCTCAGATTTAATGAAATATAGTCCAAAGCAGTCTGGAAAAGGAATGCTATGTTAATATATCTTGAGAAAGGCTTTTATTCACAAGGGATAACAAGCAGATGAAAAGCTTCTTAATAGGTTTTAGTTGCATCAGTTAACAATATCTAACCCGTATTTCCTAATATTTCCGTGGGCCTGGAGAAGAAATTCGACCAAATTGGCAATTCTGGCAAAGAAAGAAATATTTGCAGTCTGGAAATACTGCGTGCTTTTAAAATAGGATACATTTATTTGGCATTTTTTTTTATTTTGCTCAGAAGAATCATTTTCTACCAGGAGCAAATATATGAAGTTGTCTGAAAAAATTCTAAATTGTAGTTCACCTCAGGATATTTATTTCAGCTAGTTTTCACTGTATGAAAACTTTCATTTCTTTTGGAAGTAATATTTGGGCCGGATAAGATTGATTTTTCCCCACAAATTGTATAATCTCTGCGTATCTCAAAGCAAAAAAATGAAATTTACTGGGTTAAGACAAATCTGTAGTGCAGTTTTAATCGCTTTATTATACATTTAGTTGTTGCGTTTTTAAAAAACTGCACCTAAAATTATAAGTATTAAAAATATTAAATTAATAGTTTAGATTAATGTTTCTTAGAAATTGGGTGCAATTACGTATTTGAGAATACTATTTCACAGTGAAATTGTCGAACAGACAGCAGGTCCAGCTTCATTCAAGTTAACAACTATGTTGTGAGTCATGCCCTGTATCAGAGAAACCTTCCTTTGATATTTTCATACAGACACAAAAAAGTGCTTTTTAATGATAAATATTTGCACCTTCCCCTGGTGATGAATGACGAATACAACTCACAGTTCCTTTTCTAGATATTTTTGCTCTGTAGGAAACCATGTCCAGAGCCCTCCTAGACCATTATCAGGCTTTTGGATTCAATTTCCATTCGGGTTTTGATTTTTAACTGATCAATGGAAGAATCACAGTAATGGTATTTTCTGGAAAAGGAAATAATTTTGCAGACTTTCCAACATTTTTTCATTCTTTTTTCTAGCTTAAGTTTACCTTTCAGAATTTTTTATGTCTCAATACCCTTTATGCAGCAGTATCTTGATATTATTTATACCAGTTTGCATTCAAAATATCTTTTGTGCCTGCAAAAATTTTATTAGTCTTAAGTTTTTTTCAGATTAAAAATGGGGGGAAAGAGTATTTGAAGGGGTATTTTTTTTCCCTGAACATTTTACTTCTGTAAACACATTTTCACTGCAAACGAGTATGAGAATAATATATTTTATTGTAGTTTTTTAATAAATAAAATATTTTATCAGATGCTGGTTCTATCTTTCACAGAATCACAGAATAACTAGGTTGGAAGAGGCCTCCAGGATCATCTAGTCCAACCCATGGCCTAACACCTCAACTAGATCATGGCACCAAGTGCCAATTATGCTTCTTAACAGGTTTTTTATTCTCTAGAAGATAACAGAGCAATTTAAACTCTATATACCTAAATGATTTTATATAATTTGTATACTTCTTAATATTTCAGTGATCTTTAGTTAAAAGAAATTGTCCAGATAACTCTCTGCCCCTTCAGAAAACTCCTACTCCTCTCCAGTCTGAGTAACAATACTATTTTGCCTTTACAACATACCATTCAGTTATTTCCTTCAAATCATTCTAATGCCATAGTTCGGCTCTTTGAATCATACAAAATTACTGGTACAAAGCATCCTCCCTTGAAAACAGAGGTATAGTGGAATGTCATCAAGAAGACTAGGGAAAATGTGTGCCTTTTCCCAAAGGAAACTGGAGACTTGGTTATCTGGATATGGAAAAGGATGAGGCACTCAATTATTTTTCCCCCTCAGTCCTCATTGTGAAGAGCTCTGCTCATGCCAGCTGCAGAAGGCAAGACAGGGGAGCTGGAAGAATGACAAGATCCCACTGTAGGAGAAAATCAGGTCTGAGAACATCTAAGTAGCCTGAAGGCACAGCGGCTGATGGGACCTGGTAAGATACATCCATGGGTCCTGATGGAATTGGAAGACAAAGCTCCTAAGCCACTATCCTCCATACCTGAGAAATTGTGACAATTTGGTGAGGTACCCATTGATTGGAAAAGGGGAAAAAACCATCAAGATGAGTTTTTTTTCTCATCTAGAGGGTCTGAGAAACAGATTCTTTTCTAGAAACCTCATGGCTTTCACACTGCTACCCTGATACCATCTGAAGCGGATTATTCAGGGAAAAAAACAATCTTTAGAGAAAACAGCAAATATGAGCCAGCCATGAACCTCTTTCTGCAGTAATTGCTATGAGGAATTACTCTGCAGTTTATGCTGTCTTTTTTGTTGTTGTTTGATTGATTTGGGGTTTGTTTGGTGTTGGAGAGTCCATTTAAAATATAGTACACGGTGACAAATTATCTATTGAACTATTCATGTAGCTCTCAAAGATGACATAGGAGAACTTTGAACAGAGTGGGGAAAGGCTAGGATACCAATACGAAGGGCCTGCTCTTTCAGCTACCATTAATCACAAGCTGAATACACAAGAGAACATGGTTCTCAATCAAGGTCGTACATGTATAGCAAGGAAAGTTACAGACTTCTACTGTAAAACTCCTGGACAGGTGAGGAGGAAACGGTGCAGGCAAGTCTCTCATGAGGCATAATAAACACATATTTTGCAGTATATCCCAAAAGGGACAATTTAGGTTAAAGTCAAACCTGTCTGCCAAAAAAAACCCTTTGTAGCATAAGGGTCCAGACCTGCCCCAGAGAACTGGCCAGGCTAAGCAGTAATACAAACTTCTCGACTATGCCAGGATCACAGAACAGTAAAAGTGTCATGAAACATCATCTGTAGTATTTCTCCATGGAGTGAGAAAACATAGCTCCTGGAACTGATGGTGATTTATGATACGGGATTTTAAAAATTTTGTTATTCTATGGGATTTGGAGTTTTTAGGAATTAGAATATTGCCATTTTGCCCTATTGTCTTATAGAGTCATATCTGGCAATCTGATGACAGACTAAGGGGATTCTTCTAGCTAGATGACTCCTCACATTTTTTTCTCTCCTATTGTCCTTTCATTCCTCTTCCTAAATCAGTTTAAAACTAATGAGTGCAATAATAATTTCCTTTTTTGTGTTCATATCGAGCCCTAGCCTCCTTCAGACCAGTTCAAAGGATTTCTCAAAACACAAATATCACACAATTGCATTGCTCAACCATGGCTACGTACAATAAAGGCAACAAATCATAAAAGCATTGGAGTCTATGTGCATGACTTTACAACACAACTGCCGTGCTCTCACCAGATGCTGTCTATTCAGCATACTAAAGACTGAGAGTGGTCTGAATTGGAACTGTAAATAGGAGTCTTAATCAAGCAATAACTGAAAGTGCTAAACTAAGCAGGCTGCAGAACAGAGCTCTTGTTTGTCCTAGGGCGCAGTAAAGGTAGAAGCTTTCTCATTGCAATTTACTTACGTATCTCCATCTTTGGTCACAAAAGTCTAGATTTATAAATTAAATCACCGAGGAGTTATTTAAATTAAAAGTAAAGAAAACATAGGTCCATAAACACCATTCTTTCAGAGAGAGCAATAACATTTGGCACAGTTTAGGACCCTGTTTAAATTTTACTATCTTGGTGCAGTGGTATTATAAACAATATTGTGCACACAAAAACATTAGAAACTTTACAAATATTACCAAAATCTTAGTGTACACCTGCGAGGAGAGCGTTATTTTGTTGGCTGAACGAGGTACAAAAAGAAGCTGAGGCACAAAAGAGTTAAACAAATTGATCAAGTTCACAAAACTTATCCTTTGCAATATAAGAACAAACTCAATCTCACAGTTTTCAGTCTGTGTCTTCCCCCCGTAATTATTCTTCCCCTTCAAGTTGTTATTTAAGAGTGTAATAGCTATCTTGCTTAATTCTCTCACCTCATACACAGACTGTATTTCTACACTGAATAGTGTGCTTTTGCAAACAGAAAAGTTTTATTAAAACAGAATTGTGAAAATGAATAAAACTAGAGGAGCTTACCCAAATCCAGAAAACAAGCGACAGAAGAGGAAGAAGCCATAGCCCTGGACAAAGGATGAAAGGAAGGCAAAGAATCCATTGACAGACATGCATATCAGGAGTGATTGTCTCCTTCCCACCTTGTCTGCCAAGCCTCCCCAGAAGAATGCCCCCACCATCATCCCAAGGTACACTATGCTACCTGTAATACACAAAAATACAAAAAAGAGATGTTTTGTGAGCTACATAATTGACCACAATTGACCATACCACAATCAGTTAACCTTCTACATTTACAAAAAGAACAGTACACAGATGATATTTTTCCTTTCTAACTGAATATAAATTTGCAAATGTATCTAGAGAGAACAGATTTCCTACTGTCTTTGTCATCTGTTACCAGACACACTTAATACAAATATTAAACTGAAGCTTAATATAAATATTGAACAAGGTGCCTCCAGCTAAAACAATAAACAGGCAGGCAAATAAGCCTGAATAGGAGGAGAAAATGCCACTATTTCCTCAGAATTAAAATGAGTTCATGTTAAATATTGCAAAAAATTATTACTACCCCAACAGACACAATTTGTCTGAACATCTCTAGAATATGAAGAGTCCTGCAGGGGATTAAACACTGGGATCACTTGGAGTAATATGTGTTAAATCTAGAGAAAGTTGATTACAAAACTAATACTTTCCACATGAGATGTATAGAATCCAGGACATCCATCTTGATAGTTTTTTCTCCCTCCTACTTCAGTGCTTTTTTTTATTTAAAAAGGCAATGTCCTTTCAAAGCAAATCACTGTAATGTTATTGACTTGTTATTTTGGGGTTTTTTGTAGTGTTACCCCTTCCAATAATTTTGAACAGATCAAACACAGTTTAGCTATATTTATTAAAATGACAAAGCAAAAAATAATAATGGGGTGATATATTTTTAACATAAATTGTGTTTTCCACATGTACTTTCTCACAGAAAGATCAACTGAAATATTTAACATTTTGACTGTTCACATCTTAGCATATTGTACATAATTTCCTTTCCAAACACCCTGTGGAACCTTTGACAAAGATGTACAACACATTGAGCAGACTGTCAGAAGGAAAAAAGTAATTCACAAGTTTTGGACAGAACCATGAATATTGTATTTTTCTTGATACATGGAATTCTTTTTCCAACAAAAGTCTTGTTGAACTTTCCAGGTTAGGTTTTATATATTCTGCATATTGCTACCATCTCCTACATCTTCTTCAGAGCAGGAATTAATTACAAAGGTTCTATAAGTAATTAAAATACTAGAAAACCTTGTTATGTGTCTCCTTTTGATTGGTCTCAGAAATGGCCAAATTCTCTAGCATCTCTGCTGGACTCTAATTACTGTGAAATTCTGGCCTCCAGAAGCATCACCTCTGCCATGCAGAAGGTAGTTGGATGGTAAAGGAAGCTGAAAAAAACCCATTTAAATGCCTGGGCTTGGTTAAGTGCATATCATTGTAGAGTTTACTCATCAGTATTTCTGTTCTTGGAATTCAAGATGATAACATGTGAAGTGCTGGCATCTGCAGGGTCATATACATCCTAAATTGTCCCGGTTCCCTCTCATGTTTTTTACAAGTAGTTTCCACTGCTGTTTCCTTATGAGACAGAATTTAAAATAGGATATTTTAAAAATAAGATGCACATTGTGTTAAATGCATATTAACGAAATTATAGAATGAAAATCATAAAGTGGTTTAGGTTGGAAGGGACCTTAAAGACCTTAAATTCCAATCCCCTGCCATGAATAGGGGCATCTTCCACCAAGTCAGATTTCTCAGAGTTGCATCTAATCTCAGGACAAGATAACAGATCCAATGTTGCTCATCGAAGAAGGACTGCTAAAGCAACAAAATCCAAATGAACAAGAGTTAAATGTCTTCTAAAAATTACTTTTGTCAATGGATATTTTCTAGATGTTGCTAGGTTCTTAGATTTTCATCAAAGAATACTGATGATAATGTGGGTAAATCCAGAATTTGCAGAATTACTAAGACATCTTTTTTAACTTTCTTTAGCCCAGGAAGGACACAGGCATTAAAACATTCTTTTTTGGTTTAGAGGTGTTTAGAAGCAGAGATTTATTGGATAGCTTTTCCATTCTGATCAGAAATTTTATTCCACTAGTTGAGATTTTCCTGTAAATGCACATGGCTAATGTATTTTCTGGTCCTAAAGAGACAAAGGCTGGTGTATAGCTTAGCATATTCATTCAACTGCTTTAAGATCTCTACTGTGATCAAGGTTATTGTACCATGCTGCAGGTGGATCACTGCTCATAAGCAGTTTAGAAACTCCATCCAACTGATCTGATGCTTGCTCGTCAATAGCAGCGAAAAGAGCGTAACAAAAATAAGCAAATAGCTGCATTGCCAGCAGACAGATTTCAAAAAGGAAAAAAAATAGTTAATTTTTATTCTTATGGTGAAATTAATTACATTCTTCCCTGTATAAGAATTATTGGGCTTTCCCGGTCAACACTTGAATACAAGAAATAGAGAAGGCAAATTAAATAGCCTTTTATTTCTTTATAGAGATGACTTTGAAATATTTCTATGCAAATAATCCTAATTTTACCAATTTATATTCCTTGTGATGCACAAAAATATCAAAACACTTTGAAAAATGAAAGAAAAATGTTTCCAAGTCCTGAGTTTAAAAACATTAACCTTTCTTTTAGATGAAAAATCCTTTGGTTGTACTGTGTTTTGGACTCTTATACTGATGTAATTCTCCTAAAGAGCATTCAAAAGATGCTGCTAAAAATAATATTCTCATCCTGTCAATAAACTGCTATAAATAAGCTGGTCTCTGAGCTGCAGCATTATCTTATTCTTTCCCGTTATATTAACTTCCAATTTTTTCCTAATAGCCTTGCAGTCTTTGCACAAACCCTTTCCTTGACCAAAGATCTGTAACCCTTCCATCCTGAACCTAGTGCAGGTACCAACAATACATGTTTCGGTGTATTTTCCTGTCTTACTTCTATTTTGTATTTTCTGTCTCTCTTTATTGTAAGAGAATCACAGAAACATAGAATGGTTTGGGTTGGAAGGGATCTTAAAGAGCATCAATTTCCAACCACCCTGCCATGGGAAGGGGCACTCCTCACTAGATCAGATTTTTCAGACCCCCATCCAACCTGGCCTTGAAAACTTCTAGGAGAGGTGCTGTCTCAGCTTCTCTGTACAATCTGTTCCAGTGCCTGACTACCTTCATAACAAAGAACTTCCTCCTTATCTAAACCTGCTGGATTCTGAACATTCTCTAGATTCTGGGCATCTCTCATTGGGACTAGCATCAAAATGTTAGGAGTGGGATAGATTTAAGATCTCCTCCCTGTAATCTTTAGTTTAAACCCTTCCTACATCATGTAAAGGAAGTGCTCTTCCTCTCAACTTCCAAATTTTTCCTTAAGATCGTTTTACCCTGCAGCAATATTCACAGTAAGTCATAAAAGTGACTTATGGCAAAGGAGAACTCTAACTATGTAAAATAGCTGAACAACCACCCAACAAATGCAAGTAACCAACTAGATAAGATAATTTTATTGTCATCAGATTATCATGAGCATTTCCTTTCCAACTTTTGTAGCTCTTGTTTATTATGTTATGCCACTGGTCATAAATCTCTTGTGGACAACGCTAAATTTTTTCCACATCTTTCATAATTCACACATTATATTTTGCATAAATTCATATATGTAAAAATTAAATACCATGTTGATGGTCAGACCTTATACCTCATTGCCTTTAAAGACTGATCACCAAAACAATACTTGTATAGGTGTACTTGTACATATGCATATAGATGACAACCTAGCATGTGATGCTGAGGGTGATACTCCCTTTTTGAACAGCTACTACCAATCACAAGACTGGCTGCTTTTCTTTTTCTTTTCAGTACAGCACACTCATGCCTCTAAAGAAATCAATTGCTACAGTGGAAGGAACACACTGGTTTGACATCCAGTCTGATCTTAGAACATATTTTTAAATATTTTAAAATATAAAGATATTAAAGATATAGTCGAATGATATCTGTATCAAATGTCTTGGATTTTCTCCACAAGGTAACATGTAATCTAAAACTCTATCAATTTATTGAAGAGCACTGAGAAGAGGCAGATGGCAGCTGAAAAGAAACATGTTAAAATAAATAATCTATTTTATTGTTCTTTTAACAATAGTTCCTTTGTTCTTTTGTTTTAACAATAGTTCTATTGCTATTTTAACAAGTTTTAACAAACCTGTATTTACTTTCCACAGCAGTAATCTTACATACTTTGATGATTTTCACCCACTGCACAAACGCACATAATACACTCTTACATCCTCTTCAGACAAGGGAACCCGAGTCTGGAATTGTTTTACACAATGTCCACACTTTGGCTACCAGGTGGCTAGATATTTTTTAAATGGATGTGCACACAGTTTATTTCAGACTTCTAGAAAGAGTTTAGCTTTACAAAGCAGCTGACCAAGAACTCCCTCGGTATCCAAGTGCTAGTTATGGACAATTTAAATAATGACATAACACTAAATGCATAACCAGTCACTTAAGTTCAGTTAAGCAATGTTTTACTCCTTGTACTGCCATAACTTCATTCATTACATCTATTGTAATTCCAGGCTATCCTGGTATCTGAATGATAGACAAAACCTCCTGAGAAATCAGTTTGTAAGTATATTTAATCAGGAAAAGATATGGCAATGGAAGAAAAGTCAGACTTCATTGCAATAGAGAGACTCAGAAGCTATGGGACTCCCTGATTAGCTTTTTGCATTAACATACCTATTATAAATTAGTTATAAAACTAGCATGAAATTGTTTTTTTCCTGTTGTGTTGTTTAGGTAATTCGTCTAAATGAGGAATGCATTTCACACAGTCAGAAAAAGTACTAACGTTATTAAAACAACTTTAAAAATAAGATTAAAATACTATTTATCTTTTGGGAAAAGCAATTATAAATGTAGTGCTAAGGCAGTTCCATAAGAAGCAAAACAATTTTCATAAGATTTATAATGTAATCAGTGTTTTACTTACTTGTACTAGGATCTTCCCATATCTTTTAGAATATAATGATTCATAGTGAAGTACTGCAATGCCTATAAGTAGCTTAATGAATATAAGAATAAGAATAACCAGATTTATCTTT